GCTGCTGCTTCGCCCTTCTGAGGTGGAGAAGAGCCAGACCAGGCTGGGGGCTCCTGGCCCTGCCCTGGCATGACCCCAGGCCTGCCTGAGCCTGGTTTATATCACAGAAACAGTCCTTTGCTAGCCTCTGATTTTATGCTAGTTGCCCTGCAACCCATTCTTCAGACAGCAGAAGACAGTAATATCCTAACTCCTTACCTCATCCTTGGACCAGTAGTATCCTAACTCCTCCAGTCCTGGGGCTTGGATGACCTGGACTTCCACTCCCAATCTGTTTTGTTTGTTTGTTTGTTTAGACAGAGCCTTTGTTTTCTGAGACAGAGTCTCGCTCTTGTCACCCACGCTAGAGTGCAGTGGCACGATCCAAGCTCACTGCAACCTCCGCCTCCCGGGTTCAAGCAATTTTCCTGCCTCAGCCTCCCGAGTAGCTGGGGTTACAGGTGTGCACCACCACACTGGGCTAATTTTCGTATTTTTAGTAGAGACGGGGTTTCACCATGTTAGCCCGGCTGGTCTTGAACTCCTGATCTCAAGTGATCCACCCACCTCGGCCTCTCAAAATGGTGGGCTTACAAGTGTGAGCCACGGCACCCAACCAGGACAATCTGTTTCAACAGGCCCCAGGGCAAGTCTCCCCACTACAGTGTGAGAACCCTGGAAAGTCATCATCCTCTGGATTTCAGGGTGATGGGTCCAAAAACTCACCTCTACTTTTTCCAAAGATTGGAGAGACTAAAACAGGATCTGGGGGCCAGAAGTTCTCTAGCATATGACCATATTCTGTTTAAAATCCACGATTGCTGTCACTCACTCAAGGCCAGGCAGCTAGACAGAGGCAGAGCAGGCTAAGACCAGGGGCTTCTAGATCTTCCTGAAACCCCCGCAGCTCCTTCTACTGCACCTTCAGGGCTCCACCCCATTCCCTGGCAATAGTACCTTTCAGACGAGTCCTGCAGAGTTGGGGGAGGGAGAAAGGATATACAATCCACTAAGTGGTGTGATTCAGCACCAAAGCACTTTGCAGGGGTTTCAGTCTGTTTTCACTGAGCATCTCCGCTGATCTAGGAGTTGCTGGTGCAGCCAGCAAGGCAGGCACGGCCCTTCTCTTTAGAAGCTTATATTCCGGTAGAGAAAACAGATCATACAAATGTGAACAGGGCATTTCAGAAGGTGACCGGTGCTGTAGAGGTAACAAAGTAAGGTGATAGGGACATGATGCTTTCTTGAAACCACGTGGTCAGGGAAAGCCTCTAAAGGTGATATGCAAGCGGAGACCTGAACTAAGGGAAGGAACGTCATGTGGCAGAGGCCCTCAAGTTCAAAGCTACTGAAGTGAGAGGGAACAGAGTATCCTAGGAGCACAAAGAAGTTCATCAGGGTTGGGGGAATGAGGACATGGGGACTGCAATTAATATCTGTGAAATAAGTCTAAGAAGCTTTTTATGCCTTTTCCTTGTTATACATTTCACTTATCTGGTTAAACCTGACATTATGGCAGTTTCTAACCTTCCCAGTATTTACATTCTTATGTTGACATATTAAAAATGGAATGAGAACGGGCTTATTGAAAATAATTGCAGTTTCAAAATAAACCATCCACTTCGAAGGTTATTCACGCTGCAAGAGCTTATTCATTCTGTAGTTCCTGAGCTAATACCTTTAAAAAAGAGGCCAAATGGGCCCTCAAGACCTCCTTTGGTTTCCTTATAAGCCAAAAACAAGAAACAAACAAACAAAAAACAAGACACATAAAAGCAAAATATATTGTACTGATACCTACACCTTGTCATTAAATATCAAAAAAACCTCAAATACAACTTTACTACACTATGTATAACTGTGCCTTTTGCCAACTTGCTGATACATTTACTCTCTTTTCTTAATAAAATTTAGAACAGCAATGCCTTGTTTGCTCAGCACTGCTAAGCATTAGTTCTCCCCTATAAGCAAACTTTTCAGATAACTCAAGCTCCCTGAGAATGCCATTTTTTTCTGAACAACTTCCCCTCTCAATTGTACACACCTTAATTTGTATCAAACAAACACAATCCTTAATTGTATGTAATGAACACAATCTAAATCAGCCTAGATCTCAGGCTCTTACTGCACACCACACATCACACTGACCTGTAACACAGTTTATCAGCAATCACAGGCATGGCATAATTGACCTCAGGTATATTTTTATTGCTCTTTTAACTCCTTTTGCTTCTACTTCTCCTTGCTGTTAAGCTGTACTTACAATTTACTCTTTTACTATACACACTTTCCTGAGATAAAGGGCAAGAAATGTCTATTTGATAGAGTATATGGACAAATAGAACTTTGCCATTTATGAGCAAGTTTAATGTTTAGTTCAAGCAGCCAAGGGTGCTGGGAGTCTGACCTCTGAAAAAGTGGGGTGGAGTAATCTTTATCTTTTTCCATATAAATAATAAATAATGGGTATCCAGAGAGAGAATTTTCAGAAGAATGTGTTTTAGCAAGATAGGTCTAACTCCTTCCTCCTTTTATGTAAAGATCTCTAAACAGTCCCTCTCAGATTTCCTAATGTACTAACGTGGGGCTAAACTTCATGAACAGAACCTCCAGGTTCAGTGGCTTAGAAACAATGGCATCTCAAAAGTTTCTCTCTTATGTATAGTCAAGCGGAATTTTCCAAGCTGACCAGCAACTCTGCTCCACAGCGGCATTCAGGGATCCAGGTTCCTTCTCTCTCAAGGCTCTGCCATGATGGGCACCTACTGGGACAAGGTCACTACCTTCTCTGGGTTCCACCTGTGGGAAGGGGACAGAGGAGGTGAGGGGGACTCACCCACGGTCTTAAGGGTCCTGGCCCAATAACGGCATACACCCTTCAATTTATATCCCCTGGGGAGAATGAGTCAGCTGGCCAACAGGTAAGGGCAAGAGGGGCTGAAAAATGCAGTCCCCAGCAAGTAGCATGTGCCCAGCTACAACTCTACACAATGGAACAGGAGAGCGGATTTTGCTGGGTAACTAGCAGTCTTCAGGAGGAAAGTATTTTCTTATTTCTATTTTATAGAAGCACTGTAAAATTGCTATACAATTATCTTATTTCAAGTCAATCCAATAAGAAAAAAATCAGACTTACATAAACATTTTAAAGAACTATATTTTAGAGCTGAAATAAGCCTAAGAAATCATTTGGTCAGTGAACACCCTGTGACCAGCAGACATTATTTCATTGACTTGTTCCTATCAGTCTTCCACAGAAGAACAGGGACTTACCTTGTTCATTGCTGATCCCACCACTTAGAACAGTTTCCGACACATAGGAAGTGATTAACAAATCTTTGTTGATAAAAAATAGTTGAAATGAGAATATATAACAATGTAGAGATATTATTTTGTAAATTTATCTCCTCCTCTGCTGAGTTACCAGGAGTGGCAGGATATATTTTGATGGCCCAATTATAGCAAGTTTCTTTCACTTTATTTAAAATGAATATAAAGTCTAAATACAGGCCAAAGTCCACAAGAAAATCTGGACAAGTGTATCAATGACACTTGGTCTTTACACTTATTCTAAAGGAAAACCTAGTAAGGGTCTGGCCTAGGCTGTGCCTTCATTAGATTTTTTTAAAACCAAAGTACTGTCTTGAACTTGACTCCCAGATGTGAAAAATATTTTGTGTGACATTCAAACCACTTGTAAAATGTAAATACCTTCATTTGCTGAGAAATATTAAACGGTCTATAATCAAGGCCCAGCCTATTTTTTCCAAAGACAAAATTAAACATTTTGCCACCATTAAGACCAAAACAATAATTCAAATTAAGATAGCTCTACCACTTGTGAATTACAAATAAATTCTTATTATACAGTGGGAAATTCACTCTTCCAAATATAATAGTAAATATTAAAAGAAATTCAGTGACCTTTTTAAAAAAGATTACAAAATTGAATTTATTGAGTTTCACACAAGATGCACTTATAAAATTAGTATTGAATGCCATTATGACAGAAGAAATGAACATAATCCCGAACTCCCAACAGCATCTGCAAAGGAATGGAAATCTTCTGAAAATGACAGCACAGTAACAGAAAAATTCAAGCGGAACTGAAGATCTATCTAAACCATGTTCCTGCTCTGAAATCAGGGTTGTGTTTGGCAAAGCTTTCCCCAAACTATTCCATTCACCATGGCATTGTTCCTTTTGTTGGTAAAGGGAGATGGAAAAAAAATAATAATTCTAAAATGGGGCTCCACTAAAACACACACAAAGCAATTAAAAGCTTTTTCATTTTTAACTTAAATACTTCCTGGTTTCACAAAGGCATGTCCATACACTTTCCTCAACATTAATCTTCAGATTTCTTTAGTTAATACAAAACATTAAAATTCACTTACTTTTTTTGTATTTCAAATGAACAGGTCGGAATATTAAAGCTTGCTTTATATTTCATCCAAGAAATGGAAAAATCACCTAAAAATTGCCTTCTGCATATATACATGCCTGAAACATTTGCATGAGAGCTAAACTTCAAAATCAAAACATCAAAGGAAATAACAGTTAACAGGACCACCTTCTGGACAGTTCTGAAACCAGAAGTTGTAGAAGTTTTACAGAAATGCAAACGGGTTTATCAAGATAAAATGGGGTGGGAAATAACTTGACCTATGATGTAGGCCACAAACTAGTAATTAAGTGGAAACAGAATCTTATCTCAAACAAAACCAAAAGCACTTTTTGGTTGCTGTTCCCAACAGCCATACACAGATGCCTCCCCACACTGACAGCCACCCATACGCCTCAAACACCCATTTACTTTCACACAAAATCCTCTCCAGACCGGGGCCTGCCCCACCCCTAGCACAGGCCCACCCTGACAGTCACATCCCCACAGACACACACCCACAGAACACACACCCTGCCCCAGCACAGGCCCACCCTGACTGTTACATCCCCACAGACACACACCCACAGAACACACACCCTGCCCCAGCACAGGCACACCCTGACAGTCACATCCCCACAGACACACACCCACAGAACACACACCCTGCCCCAGCACAGGCACACCCGCTGTCCACCTAAACAGAAGGACTGATGCATTTGATAAGCCCAAGCAAGATGCTGCTGCCTAACACACTTGGAGCATTTACTTACAGTTAAAATTGACAGTTTTGAATTTTGTACACTGACAATTTTTCAGCCTGTTCAACACCAAATCCTTTTAGCTGTAATAATTTATGAAGCAATTAGTTTTAAAGCAAAACCAGTGAAGTATACCTTAAAGTTAACACTGCTCTGCTTCCTTGGTGTAAAAAGTGCCCTTTTGTAAGGGCATTTATATTTTATCCACCACAATTAAATGACATACAGCTCACATTTTGCTTTAAAGAGTAAACTGAAAAATTATGAAGGGTTTTTCCCAGTAATGCATAACCTTCATTAATTTTTAAAATAAATAAACTGGTTTAGCGTTTTTTGTTTTTGTTTTTGTTTACCCTACAAAATGCTACTATTCATTATGTCTTATTTAAGGTAGCCTTTTATTCTGATTAATCAAGATACATCTTTAAGGGTTATTCTGGTGGTAAGAACATTTATGTTGACTTATGTTTAATTTTTTTTAATGCTTTGGCAGATGTAGTAACATTTGAAAACTGTTTGTGAAAATAGTATGAGACTGGTAAGGTAATGTCATGGTAAAAGCTTCACAGTTTTCCAGGTATTTCCTTACACTGAAGAGGCCTTGAGGCAAATTCAACATTCTGGAAGCCCAGATTGACAAAGCAAAACAGATTTTGATGTTGCCTTGGTTGGGTCCTGGAAGTGACGCTGCTGCTTGGCCAGGCAGGAGGAAGTTTTATAATCCATCAAGCTTCCCAGAGAGTCAAGGCCGAGGTCGCTCCTGTCTTGTGATCTGACCCTCAGCCAGGCCACATTACTGGAAGAAAGATACTAAGATCTGCTTGCCAATAATAATTTAAGTTTTTAAATAAATATTTAAGTGCCATGTTTAGCATCTGTCTGTCCTGGCAACACAGCATTTGCTGCCCCAGGACCCAGCTTCGTCAGCACATGGAGCCACAGATTCAGTCAATTCGGTTTCCGCAAATTGTGAACCTGTCTATCTCTAACAAATCTTTCTTTGAGGATCTGTGTTTTAATTCAGAATTGTCCTGCGTTATGTCCTTCTCGTCACCATCTGGAGTTGTCAAAAACTGATCGGAGTTGCTTGTCACAAGTAATGGTATGATATTTTCCTTTTGATGAACAGGCTGATTGGTGACAGAGGCAGACAGGTTTTCTTCTGTGGAAAGGCCTGTGATAAAATAGGTCCGTTAAATTAGAGAAAGATTTTCCCCAATGTGCAATAAATAAAAACTTACCAATATAGTGGTGCTGAAAAAAGTGCCCATCATCCATGCTTTTAGATAAAGCAAATGATAACCAAATAGCATGTTGTATAAGCAGCCATCATTATAATAAAACTTAGAGGCCAATCATCTGTTTGTTCAATTTTATGGAAGGGTATATTACGTTGCTCGTATCACACAAACAATGCCATCACCCAACTGTAGAAAGATCACAACTCCTACAATACGGCTCCTCTCTATATAATCAAGACCTAACATGACTGTTGCCAGTCCTGAAAAATTAACATTTGCTCCAATACGGAACATCAGGGAGTGGGCCAAGAAGACTTTACTACATTCTACCTGTCATCTGCAGTCACTTCAGCTACAGTTGGTTTAGCATCATCATCTCTGGGAAGTACAAACCAGAGGTAAAAACAAACAAACAAACAAAACCCCCAGTGTTTATTTTAGGCCACAGAGATTTTGAAGCCTGGCTTTGGGGAGAGCTGGGCTGGGGCCCGGAGCGACTCATCTGAATCATACATTCAATCCACGTAAGAACAGCTTCTTTGAGGCAAAAAAGACATACCATCAGCTGTACACATTTAAAATGTATAATCTGATGAGTTCTGACATGTGCATACACCTGGTCACACCACTGCCATGATGGAGGTAATGACACATCCAGCTCTCTTGCACTAATTTCCTCTCTCCTGCCCTCACCCCCAGGACTGCTGTCTTTTGTCTCCTTACAACGTGATGAATCTGATGCAGCCTCGAGAGACGGCCCCCTCCCGCTCTTCAGCTTGACTTCAACACCCTCCTGAATGGTCTCTAGTCTGTGTTCTCCTGACCTCCAAGACATTCTGTGCAAACACTCAGACCCTCGTCCTGAATGTACTTCTCATAACATGACCCCTGAGTCAATGGCCCTGCCCTGTAGTACATGCTTAAAGCTTTTATCCCCATTAGACTGGATCTTCCTTGAAAGCAAGACTGATGCTTACTAACTTCTTTTTATATTTTTTGTGGAGATGTGACTCACTAGGTTGCCCAGGCTGGTCTCGAACTCCTGGGCTCAAGCGCTACTTCTGCCTTAGCCTCCCAAAGTGCTGGGATTATTAAAGGCGTGTGCCACCATGCCTGGCCTAACTTCTTAACTAATATGCATAACAAGAGAACACATACAGGCCTCACTATGAATTACCTAGTTGGCTGAAAAAAATACAATCCTTATTACTAACAGTGTTCTTATAATGAAAACAATTATTTCTCAGTGATTATACACATTGTTATTTTACTTTATTTTTGCTTCCTGTTAAGTACACACGATGAGCACAGCCCCACTTTCAGGTAGGACTCCAGTCCAGCCCAAATCTCCTCTCCTCCCTCTTTCTGAAGCACACTCCACACTTGCCATATTGAGCTGCTAGTTCTCCAGATGCTTTTCCAGGCCTCCATGATCTAACTCATGCTGGCCCTTCTGGAATGCCCTTTCCACCAGCCTGCCCTAGGCCAGTTTCATCCTTCAAGCTTTTAGTTTAGAAGAACCCTCTCCTGTCCCTCCAAACCCTCTGCTCACCTATTTGGACCCCTGTAATTACATGAGGTCTTGAAGGACATCCTTTATTTATTTTTCTATCTTCAGCATCTCCTCTAATACCTGGCACACAATTGTTCCACACATTTAAAAATACATCATTTAAACTAAAAGTCATATGAACAAACACCTTTGTGAACAGGGAACTGCCACCTAACAACAAAAATTAAGTCAGTGTCCCAGTTCTTCCTCCAAATCTTCCAGCCCAGAAACCTTGGAATCATCCTGAACTCTCTTATTCTTCTCACACTGCGTAACTTCCTCATCAGCAAATACTTCACACAAACCTCCCAGGTCTATCCGGAACCTGGCCAGGTCTCCCTGCTCACACTGCCTACCCGGCTCCTGGCCAGGTAGCTGCCTCTCTGGTCCCACCCCTCTGGAGTTTATTTTCCACAAAGCTTGAGAATGATCCTTTTAAAATGTCAGCTGCTCCATGCCACTGCTCCGCTCAAAGCCCCACAACAGCCCCCTTCCACCTGGAGTCAAAGCCAAGGTCCTCGTAACAGCCTGCAGCCCTCCATGGCCCCCAAAACCCCCTCTCCAGTCCTTTTCCCTGGGAATGGGCCACTGCAGCCACCTTGCTTTTAATGTCCTTTGATGCACCAAGCCTCTTCCTGCTGGGCCTCTGACTGGGAGCTGCTCCTGGAAGGCTGGATGTGCTGTCCTCAGGCTCCAGGACTCTGTGCAGTGCCACCTCCTCACACTTGGGGGAGCATCCAACTCCCTGTTGTACTTCCCTTTCCCCGTCCTGCTTTGTTTTCTCCGCAGTTCCCCGTCACTTGACATAGTGCATATTTATTTCTCTCTACCCCTCTTCCCGACAATCTAGAACAAGCTCCACAGGAGCAGAGAATTGCCTTTCCACCCCACTGCTGTATCCACTGGAGCTGACGTGTCACAGGTGCTCAATACTGAACAGCGAATGAGTAAATGGAAAACTCAGAACACTGGGCCAGGTATATATGCGATGGGATCTAAAACACAACCATTAAAAGACCAAAAAACCTAGGCAAAGTGAAACCAATCTTTAAAGCGTTGCTTAACATTGATCGAACTGTGATTTAACTATTTGAAAATGATCCAGGGAAGTGAAGAAAGGGACCAAACCTACCTTGAGAGGGTTTACATTTGTTCTGTGATTTACTGGACGGCTTGCCTGGAGTGCAGGCTGGGGGAGGATTCGACAGCTTCTCTTCCATTTTGGCTTCTTTCACATACTGGCACGATTTCCCCAACAGCACAATGCTATTAAGTACTTTCAGGGATATCAACCTAAAAACAGAAACAAAACAAACCATATCCGTTGGAATTCATCTAAATCCCTGTGAATGCTCATGGCTAAGGAGAAGGCAGGGGGCATGGGATGGGGACAGGTCAGGGATTTCGAGGAATTTACACAAATCTTGAGTTTTCTTAGGCTTCTTTGCCACAAAGAAAAGCTTCGGAATTCCTTAGTGTTCTTCTTTTTTTTTTTTTGAGACAAGAGTCTCACTCTGTCACCCAGGCTGGAGTGCAGTGGCGCAATCTCGGCTCACTGCAACCTCCGCCTCCCGGGTTCAAGCAATTCTTGGCCTCACCCTCCTGAGTAGCTGGGATTACAGGCATCCACCACCACACCCGGCTATTTTTGTATTTTTAGTAGAGACGGGGTTTCACCATGTTGGCCAGGGTGGTCTCGAACTCCTGACCTTGTGATCCACCTGCCTCAGCCTCCCAAAGTGCTGGGATTACAGATGTGAGCACCACGCCTGGCCTCCTTAGTTCTCTTATAAGAAATTATACGACTTAGAAATTTTTCCTGGTATTAAACATTTTAACATTTATTCTTTTATTATACAACAAATACATTTAGCACATGCAGATGAACAAAAAAAAATAATAAAATTACACGATTCCACACCCTTATGATAATCACTGTGACATTTAGTATGTTATCTTTCAGTTGCTTTCTCTGAGTACGCCTCCATTTGTACTTTCTTGCTGTATAGAAACAGGGTCTATTTTACAAGGCAGTAGGCGAGGGGAGTCAGGAGACAGAGCATGGACTCTGGGGTGAAGTGTGTTGGTGTGGAGTCCTGAGTCCACTGCTTAGAACCTGTGTGTACCTGGGCAAGCTACTCAAGCAGCTAATCTGGAAAGGAGAGCACTCAGGTAAGGTGCTCAGAGCAGTGCCTGGCACACAGAAATGGCAAGCAATTTTGTTACTCTTTTTGTTATTTATATAACAATGTATCATGAATATTTTTCCATATCAGTTTATGTTCCTCAGTGACATTATTTTAAATGGCCTTATAACATCACTGTATGGGTTATCAAATAACCAAGCCCCAAACAACTCTTATTTCTGGATATTTAGATTATTTTCAATATTTTGCTTCTACTAAAAAATTTCTGATTAAGAAAACATGTTAAATCTGTATTTCCTTAGGATACCTAGGTACTTATGACTACAGAAATAAAATTTCTGGGTCAAAGAATATGAATATTTTAAGGCATTCAATATAAATCTGGAAAAAATTATGGGAAGAAAAAAGTCTCGCATTAACTTCAATGCCAGTTTTACAGCCAGTGAAGAAGCTGGTTTTCTTTTTTTTTTCAAGAGACAGTCTTGCATTGTCACCCAGGCTGTGGTGCAGTGGCATGATCATGGCTCACTGCAGCCTTGAACTCCTGGGCTTAAGCAATCTCCCACCTCAGCCTCCTGTACAGCTGGGACCACAGGCATATGCCACCACGCCCAGCTAATTTTCTTTTTTGTAGATCTGGGGTCTTGCTATGTTGCCCAGGTTGGTCTCAAACTCTTGGGCTCAAGCAATCCTCCCACCCCAGCCTCCCAAAGTGCTGGGGCTACAGGCATGAGCCACCATGCCATTTTCTGCTCAGCTCCTTTCGTGGTCTCCCCTTCCCGGGCCCTCTGCCCCCATGACTGCCCATGGACTACTGTAGCTGCCTGGCGCCTGCTGTTCCTCCACCAGGCCTGTGTCCCTGTGCCCTTCTGCTAAGCCTATGCTTTTCCCAGGTGGCTGCACAGCTCCCTTCCTTACTGAAACACCAGCTGACCAGAGAGGCCTGCCCTGGCCACCCTCTCTAGGCAGGCTGCGTCTGCCTCTCCCATTCATCTCCTCATACTATTGTGCTTTTCTTCCTAACGATTCCTACCAACTGTCAATAGAGTGACTTGCTTTTCTAGTTGTTGTCTATTTGTTGTCTGGAATTTCTGTGACACCAAGGCAGGGCACTTGTCTGGCTTCTTTTTGGCCAAGCCCTAGACCAGCCCAGGCCCAGGCCCTGCTGCTGAGCAGCTGCTCCCTGAGGGGCGCTGAGCAGAGCAGTAATGGCGGAGGCTGGCAAGTCCTCCCACTTTAGCTGGCAAGAGTGAGTCTGGAGGGAAAGACGATAAACTGGGTGTAGTGGGGAAAAACCTCAGCATTTTATGTCAGGAGGCCCAACTGAATTCTGATTTTATTTTTTTAACTGAAGACAGATTCTTGGGTTTGGTGCAGTTAATTGATAAAGAAGGCATGGACAAGGTAGTTTTGAGAAAGTTTCTGAAGGAGAAGAGGATAATTTAGGAATTATCCTGAGATGAGGATTAGAGTAGATGAATAAAGTAGAAAAGTGAGCAGATCTGTCTGGCTGTGCTATCCAGGTGCAGAAGTGAAGCAACATGGGGAGGGAGGCGACACTGGAGGCTGGGGGCACCGGTACCCTGAATTCTAAGTAACTCAAGATTAAAGTACATCCCCCTTGGTGAACTATGCACAGGCAACTGTAACTAAACAAAGGTTTTCAGATGTAGCATATACATGCTTCATTTAGTGATTATTATGTAAAAAATACTAGAATATTAGATTGTCAAACAATTATTCCCACTGAGATTACAGCAATACCACTTGGTAAGCACAGCACAATGTTAAAAACGTTGAGGTGCGGTGTGAGACTCTACATTAGAAAAGGAAGGTCTTAATGTTATTTAATGTCAAAAAACGAAAAGAGTTACCTTAATATAGTAAACTATTCATATACTCATTCAAACAAAAAATAGGCAATGCTGTACAGTGTGATCAGAACCTCCCCTCATGTGTGAAACACTGAAATGACCTACATGCAGCTCTGCAGGACACCGGCCTGAGCCAGGCACCGCAGGAGCTGGGAAGCAGGCCCATGACTCAGGATACTTGGTGGAGAGGTGGAAAGTGCAGACAGTAAGTGACTATTCCTATGCTACTTCAACAGAAGCTTCCTGAGCACGTGCCAGGTAGTGTGCTAAGCCCTGGGCAGGAAACAATGTGAAAAACACACTAAAAAAACCATGAAACTGGAACACTAAGCAAATCCACTGCTCAAACTGTGACTGCTATGCTTACCCTCCAACCTTTCTCCTCTGGAGGGTTAAAGTTCGACCTCTCTCAGACCACCCACCCCTCCGAGTGAAGCTCCTGACACACACCACCTAAGTGAGGGTGGAACAGGTTTCCCATTTCATTTTTCGGTAAGTTAACTGAATGCCAGGTCTGGTTACTTTATCATTGTTCACTTCTTGAGAAAAGTAACAATGGCAAAATCATCATTTTATATTGTTATTTTCTTCATACCATTTATTTCTATCTTAGTTAGTTGTTAATTTACTGTATGTCTCCCCCAACTAAAATGTAAGATCATGAGACCAACAAACCTGCAGATGGATTCCACTGGTCACAGAAAACCTACGCTTGTGCATTACATTTGGTTTTATGTGATGCCCGCCTACAGTGTGCTGAACAATTCAATGTGGCAAACATACTGGAGGGTCAAAGATGTTTTTAAATATGAAAACATGTCTGCAATGGCAGGCTTTTATTCATCAAAAAAATGTGAGTGAAACCTAAATCTTAAGCAAAAAGCGCTTTAAGATTTTGTTAAAAATTAAAATAAAATCTAAAGTACTATTAATACTACTACCAAATAGCAGTGTAGTTAATCTAACCAAGTTACAAAGAAATACACTGGGAGGTACAGCTATTGAAAGGAAACCCCCAGCAGAGATTGGGAGTAGTATGATTGAGATGCTATTAACTTCCATTACATCTTGCATTTATGCTTTACTATATAGCCAAAAACATATTCAAGAATAATCTTACCCAAAATAGAAGAGTATGACACAGGCATAAGACAGGATTCCTTGCACTTTAATTGAGCTTGTTACAACTCTGATGAGCTAGCCAGAAACAAACCAACAAAAACACACAAACAGAACACACAACCACAGAATTATTAGTTAATACTTAAAAAGATTTCACCATGCTGACTTTAACATTTTAGGCATAAATCTATGGCCTTTGTCTAAAAATCCAAGAAGGCAAATTTGTCGATTTGTATCAAAATCTGCCTGCTTGTGAAACCCGTGGTACATTTGGATTGGTTCAAGCAAATCTGGGATGTCTGTGGCTCGTGCAACAGTTTCACTCTTGTGGACTCTCTGAGGTCCGCCCTATACCTAGGTCATGAATGACACATGTACTTATACCTCATAGAGATGCAAAGCAGCTGATTTTTATAAAATATTATTCTGCAAAGTACAAATGATTTCATCTTGCTACATGTGTCCACACCAGAACTAGAATCATTGGGTGGGCGTTTCCTTATTCCTGTTCCCCCCCACCCCGGCCACGCCCCGTCCTTTCTTCTTTGACTCTTTTAAGAACCACCAGTAACTCACAGGGAACACAGGAAAAATGGAACCTTAAAAGTTTTGTATTTAGAAAAACTAAACACTATTAAAAAATTAAACATTGAAACATTTCTCTCTTTTGGATAGTTATAGTTAAATACCCATTTTCTTACTTCTTTCACAGAAATAAAGGAATAACAGCGTTATCCTTGGAAGTCTGCTGAATAAATCTGGTGAAATCAGTTAAAGGAAAATGTCCACACATTATAAGTGCAGCTGTGCCCATATGTTAAAAGAGAAAGAGAGACTTAGGGAGAAGTGGTCTTATCTAGTAATGTCAAGTTATCAAATGTCTATTAGAGTATCTTAAATAAACATCACAGTACACATTTAAAAAGACATTTACAAATGCTTTTAATAAAAGAACAATTGGGAAGAGGTGTGGCAAAGGATTGTCATATGTTCAATAAACTCTAACTATGAGAAAAGTGACAATGGAAGCCCTCAACTGTGTCACTGTCTCTAACAGGGTAATGTCTACTGTATAGGCATTTGTGACTGAAGTTAACACAACTCTAGGATTTTATTCATTAATATGAAAGGCAAACCAATGATCACATTTAAGGCTTAAATACACCCTTATCTAGCATATTATCAGTTAACTTTTACTCAGTCTAATTTCCATGAGACTTTAATACACAATTTTTCTTTTTTCAGATATAAAATCATTTTAGGACCTAACGTAACGCTTAGAAGAAAAAATTGCCATCCTTGTACCTTAATTAAAGAATTAACTTGTCACAGAGGCCTTGGTATATTTCTCAAGGCTCCTGGATGCTTGCCAAAGCTGTGGCACACAACGAAGCTCTGTGAGCAAAGTGCTGTGGAAGGAAGCCCACTAGATCTCTGCCTAACTATACAACCCCCTTTCAGCACACTGGAGGTGTTCCAAAAGTGTTTTGTCAATTATTAATTATTCATAAATATTTTGCTATAACAGCCATAAACACTCATTTAAAGAATAAAACAAAGACTGAAGAAAAATTTTTAAATACTGAATCAAAAAAGTTCATACTAATTATGAATTTTCTGACAAGTAAGTTACTAGACAAATAAGTCAATTATTAGTTGGCAAAGCAGGATCATATTTAAATCCAATCATTTGACCAATCCTTACCAAAAAAAAAAAAAATCAGGCCATGTAGGTTTATCCCTATACTTGTACGTTTCATATTTCTAGTTGTAGTAAACAAATGCAGAAATATTTAATATTCTATTTTATCAATCTCTTAAGCCCTTAACAAACAATTTTATTATTTGGAAGCCTCCATTTTTCTGAAATTCTAGTTCCTTTTCCCAAGCAAAAGAAAGCTATATTATTATGTAATAAGCAAGCTATTAATATAATTAAAAATGTTTTAAAAATTAAACATTTTTAATTATATTAAAAATTAATGTGGTTATCTGTAAAATCACACTGAAATTTAAATAGCATTAAGCCTATTAATCATCTGTCATCTAAAAAAAGTCAAGGAAGCTGGTCTAAAATATAGCTGGTATGATCTTCCCTTTCTTTACACACTTCTTAGTTGATCTGCATGAGACTGCAGCTATAGAAATCTAGATATCCTCTGGCAAAAAAGACAGTTGCGTTTTTTTTGTTTTTTTTTGAGACAGAGTGTTGCTCTTGTCGCCTGGGCTGGAGAGCAGTGATGCGATCTTGGCTTACTGCAACCTTCCCTCCCAGGTTCAAGTGATTCTCCTGCCTCAGCCTCCGAAGTAACTGAGATTACAGGCGCCCACTACAGGCACCCAACACCACGCCCAGTTAATTTTTGTATTTTTAGCAGAGATAGGGTTTCACCAAGTTAGCCAGGCTGGTCTCAAACTCCTGACCTCAGGTGATCTCCCCGCCTCACCTTCCCAAAGTGCTGGGATTACAGGCATGAGCCACTGTGCCTGGCTGGTTGCATCTGTTTTGATGTTAGAATAGATAGTCAAGAAAGAACATAATCAAATACAAGTGCAGCCAGCAAATATTTTTCTTTTTTTCTTTTTTTTTGCCTCAGCCTCCTGAGTAGCTAGCACTACAAGTGCACGTCACTAAGCCAGGCTAAACAAATCCTCTTAATTAACATTATTATAGCCTAATGTTGCTAGAAACTATTTGCAAGCCTGTTCTGGGCAATTCATTAAAATATTCCAAGTTGATGACTTGTTGAGGGTTGATTTAGTAAGTTTCAGTAGTATTTTTGAAAAAAATACTATTTCTTGAGTATAAGAGCAGGAATTTTCATTGCAAAAAGTCTGGACAATTTTTTAAAAGTATTAATTACCACTGATAGAGAATATGTCTTCATTTGGGCACACCATAATTTATTTAACCTATTTTGCTTGCTTCTAAAGTTTATTACAAATGTCATTGAAATGCAAAGCTGTGCCCACAAATCACTGTGTGTCTTTTATAACTATTTCCTTAGGATAATTTCTAGAAATGAAATAACTGAATTAAAGCATGATACTGTCACATTGCCTTGTAGAAAAATACTGGATTAATTTATACTCCCACCAACACGTGTTACAGTGGCCACGTTAATGCCCATGCTCAGGTATTTCCATTAAAAAATATTTTTACTAAATGAATAAGCAAAACAGAGTGTTCTCATTGTTAGGAAAGCCATTTACATAAAACAGCTTAGCATCACTTATCTATTGGATGGCTCAACCAATAGATATTTGGATATATAAGCTATTGCTATAATTTAAAACAAAATTTTCTTCCAAGTTATTTACCCTTAATTTTTATTTCAAGTCCTTTTGAAACAATCATATTAATAATCCATTTATTAATATTCTATAATGATGGCTTTGTTACAAAAAACATTAAAAAGTATGCACTTACTAAAACAGCTAGTGGGAGAGGAATAAAGCCCATCCTCCGTGCTACAGAGTCGCTGTAATCAGTGTATGCCTGAACAGAGAGGAGCAAAAGATTCAGATTTATGGGATTTAAACAGCATTTTAAAAGTACTATTCACTTATTAGCAGCAAATGTTCTAACCAGGTGAGGCTATGGAGCAAGAACAGAATGTGGCACTTATAAAATGACGTGCAAATCCAAATGTTCACAAGTCTTAAATACAAAGCTGAATAACTTAAAATGCTGCAAAGAGCATACACTACTTAATGTTAAATATTACTATTATTCTTAATCTGTAAATGTTTATTTAGTGTTGAGAACGGAGATAAGTAGGCAGTTTATGTAGCTTTCCTTTAGTTAATATTTCATGCTAAATTAAGCATTATTCAGTTAATTTCAGACTATGCCTTTGTTAATTTTGGATTATGCCCTTGATAAATGCTCACATTTTTCTGTCGGCTGCTAACAAGGTCAAAAGCAAGACTGGCTCTATATTCACTGTAGACCTAAAGACAAATAAGAATGAAATATTAAGTAATATAGTAAAAATATATCATGCAGAAAGACTTAGATTTTATTAATGAAAACGTTTAATAATTAACCAGGAACAAGTGCTAATAACCAAGCAGACATCTGGGCATAATTTCCCTATTTGTTTTCCTACAGTAAAGGTAAAAAGTAACCTTAATTCCCGTGAACTCTTAACATTCATAGATCTTTTAAAAGTTTTTCTTTAAAGGGGAATAAATATCCAATGACTATGATCCTGAGAGTTTGGAATTTGGGGAAGAGTGACTATTTTAAGTAGGGTAATGTATATAAAATAATTTTGAAATTTTAAATTAAATGAATAGTTTTAAAAAATTACTGTTTATCTAACCATAATAATGCCTTCTGAGAAAAATGAATGCTGAAAAAGACATAAAACTAAGTTAGGGAACACAGTAAATATGAAGGCACTTGTGAATGACTATTTCCACTAAAAATTGCACAAGTGTCTCAATCAAGCCTATTAATTTTGACTTCAGATGTTAAATAAATGATCCTATGAAAAGGGAATCATTCTGCATTGAGAAAGTTGAGAAAGTAAATGGTGAAATTACTTTATCAGTGCTTTACAAAAAAGTACAAAACTATTTACTTTAAGTATATTAAAACATTCAGAAACTCATAATCAAATCACAGCTGTTGTAACTGCATTTTATTTTAAATAACTGCCTTTTGAAATAAAACAAATATTACTGTGAGACTGTTATTAAAAGTACCACCCAGTAAAATCTAGAAAACTGTGGAGCTATTATTTATTTTGGGACTGAGGCAGGAATGAGAAATACATTAGGAAACCTTCTTATGTTTTATGTGCAATAAATCTATAGCCACATATCTATTTCTAGAAATTATCCAGAACATCTGATAAAACAAATTTCCCAAAGTTTAACTACTTTCACCAGAAAAACGTAAGGCTCTCGTCTTCTAAAACTTACCAGGAACCTATTCATAATTGTGGAAAAAAATCAATTTTTAAATACAAAATATTTTAAAAACCTAGCCAGAGAGAAAAGTTTTGATGGTCTAAGTTTTAAAATAGAAACAATGTGATTTTAAAGTCTTTAAACAGATTATGACAGTGTTAACTGATCAGAATGATTTTGAGTTAGTGACACTGTGACTTCGACTACAGGCTGGTCTATACTTCTACCCCAAGATATGGAATTAGCATTGCCTAATATTAAAACAGAATACTTTCGATAGTGTAATAATTTTTAGAAATTTAAAATTACAATTCTGACTTTAAAGTATTAATAAACTCCTATTATTCTACAACTTTTAAAAATTAAGCAACAGAAGTAAACTTTAAATATTAAAGTGTATGTCAAAATACATACATCTGCAGTAATGTCATTGAATTTGGTGATAAAGGCATGTTTTACAATATCCACGGCAATTTCTGATGCAATTACCATACAGACATCTGGAAACAACACCCAGAGATGATCTATAAATAGAAAAGAGAAAAACAATGAAATATCTTAATATGAACAGAATCCATATCACAGGCTACCAGAGAAATATGAAATATCTAGAACAAAACTGTATTTTCAGTAAATGATGAACTAGTATTCAATTATAACCTTTACCAAAAGAGCTATACTGTATCAAGTTAAAGGATACTTCATTCAACAAATATTTGTTCAGGCCTGGCACAGTGGCTCACACCTGTAATCCCAGCATGTTGGATCACCTGAGGTCAGGAGTTTGAGACCAGCCTGGCCAAAATGGCAAAACCCCGTCTCTACTAAAAATACAAAAATTAGCCAGGAGTAGTGGCGTGCACCTGTAGTCCTGCCTACTTGGGAGGCTGAGGTAGGAGAATTGCTTGGAACCGGGAGGTGGACGTTGCAGAGAGCTGAGGTGGCGCTACTGCGCTCCAGCCTGGGCGACAGAGCAAGAACAACAAAAACCCAAATATTTATTCATTACTTTCTAAGTGCCAAGAAGTGCTTTACATGCAGGCTCCGGGGGTTTAGCAGAGAGCCTCTGCCTTTACGAAGCCTACGTGCTGACATGCTGATGGGATGACTAGATTAAGCAGGTTCCTTAGAAAATCCTTTAATTCCAGAGCTGCCTCAACGTGACAGTAAATAGCTAGAAGAGATGTGCTATAGTCTTTGCAGATGAGCAATCTTCTCCTTCTTTGATCACTACAACTTAAAGATATTGATCAATCCTTTGTTTCACTGTCATGCAGATGTTAACCTGATAAATTTGCTCACCATTATCACATTTAAATGTCTATTCAAGTAAGACCTAGTGTTAGATAGATAAATAGGGTAACTGTAGTTTGCAATAACCTACTGTGCATTTCAAAATAGGTAGAAGAAAAGGATTTCACCAGTTCTAACAAAAAGACAAATATTTAAGATAATGGATATCCCAAGTACACTGATTTGATCTTCACAAAGTATACGAATACATTAAATTATCACTTGCACACCCAAACTATGAAAATTATGCATCAATTAAAAAAATTTTTAATGCCAATTCAGTATCAGGTACCTGATAAAACACACCCACAGACAACCTGCTAAGAACTTGGAAAAGAATGTAAGAGTGGGATACAGCAAGAAAAAGATAGGGAGAAACACTGACAAGGACCCATAGCAACTCAAGACCCAGGTAGCCGGAGGATGGGATGGAGACCACACAGCTGGGCTATCCTGGCTGACAGTGTAGGCAGCTTCTGTGAGTCTGGTATTACGTCAAGTTTTGGAAATCAAGGGACCTCTTTCTCTGATAAGCTCTGCTACTAACTGCTATATGACCTTGGGCAAGTTTTTTTTTGAATCAACATCACTGGCAAAGGGCAAGTTTCTTAATTAGCTAAATTCCAGCTTCCTCAACCACAAGGTAAGGATAGTAAGTGTCTACACTTAATTATTATGAGAACTAAACGAGATAATGGTGCACAGCAATATTCCTAGCATACAAAATGGCTAGTGCTGTTTTTATATTCCTCATGACCCTGAGAACTTAGAGCAACGTTCCATAAATGGCACTTCGTTGGTTTTTTTTTTTTAAAAGAAATTTTAATAAACCTAAAAAAAAGAGTGAAAATGGTGAATTCATCAATAAAAGCAAGTGTTCCTTTTATCGTATTATCTGCCATAGCAGTAATAAAGGAGGCAAGATAATTTATTAAAAGTCACAGTATAAATGAGAATGACTTCAAATATCCAGCTGTCTAGGAGGCATAAAGACTGTTTGTCTTTTGTTTTAACCACTCAGCTTTGGGAATTGCTGATCCTACATGTACTCTACTGGAACCAGTGACACATACCCACTCTGCCCTTCATGGACACCCTGTTAGGTGACTTAGTTATAAAGAAATATACCACCATTCACTGAAAAAAATCTGGGTACTCAATGAATCTAGCTGTGTGTGTGGAGGAAGAGGCTTTTCTACCACAAGCCAGGTAGCCTACCTACTCCAGCTGCTGTCAGATATCATTTAATCTTATGGTTTCTCTACGAAAAAAACTTCTGAAAATGTATCTCCAAGAGCATATCTCTCATTTTATATGTTTTTGATTTTTCAGTTACTTGAAAATTACCAATGAATTAAAATAAATTAGTAAGTTAATAAATGCCTATAACATATATAATATTGGGAGTAATAAATGAAATCTAAAACATGGTCTCATCCTTTAAGAATGAGATTCCAACAAAAACATCAGATATTCAAACAAAAACTCTTAAATTACTTGAGATACCTGAGAAATTGATCATTTCCCACTTAGCTCACTTCAGCATTATAATTACCCATTTCCCCTTAATTAGCCTGTAAGTCCTACAAATGTCTTAGTATTTTCTACATTTGCCACAGTGCCTGCCCTTGTGCCTAGAAACTAGCATATGCTCAGTGAATGTCTGCTAACTGAATGGATAATGAAAATTCATGGAATGTTGACAATTTCCTGTCAGCCTGAATTTAGAGATGCACCTAAGTTGCAAAACTTCCACCTTACTTTATATTTAATTTATCCCTACTTAAAATGCTAATCAATGGGTAAAAGATAAATGTTAGGGAAGAGCAAAGGTTCTTCTGGTCAACCCCTAAGATGAAAATGATCTTTCTGGATTTAGGTAACTAAAGCACACTACAGTTAAAAATAGAGAGGCTCAGAACTGCCGGGTATAACAGGGTGCACTCACCTACTGAGTATACAGCTCCAGAGACACGGAGGGGTTTATAGAAAATGACAGCATCCCACCACACCACAGAAAACATACCCAATCCATTCTACTGAAACAGGTACTGTCATGTGTCGCTCAGCAACAGGGACGCATTCTAAGAAATGTGTTTTTAGTCAATTTTGTCATTGTGTGAACATCATAGAGGGTACTTACACAAACTTAGATGGTATAATCACACACCCAGACTATATGGTATAACCTACTGCTCCTAGGCTACAAACCTGTACAGCACATTATCATTCTGAATATTGCAGGCAACCGTGACACAATGGTAAGTGTATCCAAACATGTCTAAACACAGAAAAGCACACTAGGAGACTAGGTGACAGGAATTTTTCACGTCCATTAGAAACTATGGGATCACCATTGTATATGTGGTCTATTGTTGACTGAAATGTCATTATGTGACAGATGATTGTTTCTCCAACACCTAAACAGTAAAACAGCCAAAGTCTTTTGAAGCTTTCTGCAATATTCATTTTATTCCGTGTAAAAGAATGATTTTGGCTTAGAAGGAAAATTATAAGACATTGTTTTGTTAAGAGTGAGTTACCTGGATTCCAAGAAAACTGTTCCATGTTTCTTAGACACACTATTAGTAAAAGCACATAATTTGTGAATCGTTCCTTAATATCTAAAAGAAAAAAAAATCAACATATAAGTACTGTAGTGTATATAAACAACACAATAAAGTACATATAGGAAACAATTCTTTTAGCCAGAACATGATGAAATTATTAGACAATGTATAAATGTCCATAAATATACAACTTTATATATATATGTGTGTATATATATGTGTGCATATATATATAGGTTGGTGTTATCTTGGTAAGTCACTGACTTCTTTTGCCAACATAATTCTAGTATGGAGATTCCAGTTTTCTATAAACTTCAAGAAGTATTCAAACCATCAAACTGCTCAGACTGGGTCATTAGATTCCTCCAATGATCTTTGGGGACATATGACAACTGTTTCCATTTTACAGAAGAAAAAATAGAAGCAAAGAGTAAAATGAAAGACTTTGGGTAATAAAATTCCTGTATAAAATCCCAGACTACTTCCAATCTGGTAACTAGTACACAATTACTGAACTTATGAGTCCTTTAGCTGAGAGAATCCTGCTATTACAATAGCATTTCTTGGGGTGTAGGTAAAACTTGAGGGAAAATAACCCCAAATTGGGCTTCATAATATTTACTATAAACTAATAACTATGTGCTGAGATTAGGTGGAATGAATTTAATAAAATCAAATCACTGAATTATTGCTAAAGGCCAGTGTACACATTTCACTTTTTAAGCTGTTAACTTTCTCATAGTCTAAGATACTATGTAATCAAGAAATGGGATGAAATAAATTTGTCTGCAGTTAAGAGTGGCACACCCATGTATGTGTGTCTGTGTAACAGTGGGGGCTGTGACTAGAAACAATCACTCATATAACAACCCAACTCAAAAGTTTTTTTACAGTCTGTTGTCATTTCCCTACTTTCCCAATGCCTCAGTAATCGCAAGCCTCACCCATATCATTCAGCCATGGCACGCCTCCTATAAGTGCTCTGAATTTCAATTTCATCCTGATGTAATTCACGGGACTGTCTTTGCTTCTCTTTTTTTACTTCCACCTTTCCTCACTATTCTCTAGCAATGTGATTAAAAACGTTTATTCCACAGCAAAACCTCCTTCTCTATAAGCGAGTTGGCCTTTACTCTCTGTACCTTCCCTACATCCTTAAGCTCTTCCAGTCAGTTGCTGGTACCTTCTTTTTCAGGGTAGCTCAGCTCCTTATTAGTGATGGGTCTGAGCTGTGCCTTCGCTCCCTCAAAGCCCAGTGGGCACTACTTGCTTCCTACTTCCAAAGCTGAAGCACCATTCATTATGCAGTACCGCATTTTGGAGTGTGAGCTCAGGGCACAGTAAGTCTCAAGGTACCAAGCACTGAGATGCCTCCTTAGGAGGCAGGGCACCTCCGGAGCAAGTCCACGCGGAGTTTTCAGGCACACCTGTTTTGATTCGTTCTAGATCACATGTTTAATTTATTCTGTGACGTCAAAAGAGGATACAGGTTAAAGGAAACTAAGAAAAGTCTGCCCTAGAATAAGTTCCATCAAAGTCTGACACAAAATATATTCTTTGTTACTATAGCTAACTGTGGATCTTAATTCGTGGGGTTAAATTTGCCAATGTATCTTTAATTGGAATTCTGTAGAATTATTCACCAAGCTGTACCTATATGTGTGCTAAGTCCTTTCTAATTTCCATAAATGAATTTAACAATGAAACGTATTTATTTTTGATACTTCCCAAACATGAATATGTAATATAGACTTGTTTCATTACAGAATTATATGAAAATAAATGACCTTGAGAAATTTAAAACACTATTTGAAATGAGCCAAAGTAACTTTTCTAAACTCTAATACAACAAAGCGAAACTACCGTAGAATTAATCTAGCTGTATTTGATTTTTGGGCACATGGCAGCTGCAAGTATAGAGAAAATCTGCAATAATTTCATTTCTAAGGATACTGATGAAAGGGGAAAAACCTATCTCATTAAACGTATATTTAAGGCAAAACAGATTTTATTTTTTCTTTTTTATGATTTCTTATTTTTTTGAGACAAGAGTCTTGCTGTGTCTCCCAGGCTGGAGTGCAGTGGCATGATCTCGGCTCACTGCAGCCTCTACCTCCCGGGTTCAAGCGATTCTTCTACCTCAGCCTCCGGAGTAGCTGGGATTACAGGCATGCGCCACCATGCCTGGCTAATTTTTGTATTTTTAGTAGACAGGGTTCCACCGTGTTGGCCAGGCTGGTCTCCAGTTCCTGATCTCAGGTGATCCGCCCGCCTTGGCCTCCCAAAGTACTGGGATTACAGGTGTGAGCCACTGTGCCCAGCCCAAAACAAATTTTAGAAAAGCAGACTATTCCAAAAAAAAAGCAGACTATTCCAAAAAAAGAGATTAATAAAAATGGATAAATTTGGTAAATAAATGCAATTTTATAAGATGAAGTATGTGAAGGATGGCAAGCTTAAATATTAAAAAGTGACACCATAAAAATTAACTGTATCTTTATTTGATAAGATAAAGATATAAAACTATATCTAACTATAAAGATGAGGCTGTTATGTGAAGATTTTTTTGAAAGTTTTATTCTTACACTTTCACAACTTTTACATTTAAATGTTTTACATAGACATTATAAAATCAAGATTTGACTTTTAAAATTTGAGTTAAAAAATACCCAAATTTTAAGTGTCTCCAAAGAAGATATAAAAAATAAAATTTCTATGAGAATAACAGTCTGATACTGATAATCTAACATATATTAGATAAATAATGCAATCAGCAACATATTTATACCATATCTCACCTTCAGAATAGTCAGGGTTCGGATTAGAACTGAACTCTTACATTGATTAAAAATTAAAATTTCTAAGAATGTTTTCTCCTAACCTTTATCAAGAAGCTTAAAAACACTGGTATTAATGCTTTTAAATATGTCTGATATTCAGATTTTTCCTTGCTATATTACCACTAACAGGGATATACTTTAACATATTTGCAGTCACATTTTAAATATAAAATGAGTGACTATTTCCAATAAACATCCATATTTATTGCAGCTTTGCAGGCTTCTAAGAGTGTTAAGTGAGCTATAAGCTTACTCCAGACAACCTAACTTCTGAAGGACCTTTCCAAATGCACAGTTCACATTACCAATGGGTAAAAATCTACCTAAAATTCTTCATCTCAAGAATGCAAACCAGAAAGACTGGGGTTCCACATTCAGCTGATGCTTATGATAAAATGAAGTGAAGAAAAGGAGAAGTTGTTAAAAACCTGGTTTTATTAACTAAACTACTTTTCACATGTCCTCAGGCAATTCCTCCAAAGAAAATATACGGTGAGCTACCACTGAAAGGGGTAAAGTTACTCTCAGATTTCTCCATGAAGTCTTCTCTATTAAACCAGCATGAAGGACTAAAACTTACACTATGTATCTGGCAAGTCAACTTCAGATGGAGAAAAAATTCATAGGAAAATTCATAAGAAAAAAAGAGTCAACATGAGTATCCCTGCTGACTGGCTCTCATTAAGTAACTACTACTGAAGCATATGAAAGAGGCAACATATTCATATCAAGAGCAAAAAGCACCTCTTGGTGACTCCTGATCTTTCCATTTTAATAGCTGAATGTTACATGTAATGTTAGCAAGATTGCCTAGAATTTTTTTTTCTTAAGTTCTTTTTTCTTTTTTTTTGAGACGGAGTCTCGCTCTGTCACCCAGGTTGGAGTGCATTGGCGCAATCTCGGCTTACTGCAAGCTCTGCCTCCTGGGTTCAGGCCATTCTCCTGCCTTAGCCTCCCGAGCAGCTGGGACTACAGCACCCGCCACCACGCCCAGCTAATTTTTTTTTTTGGTATTTTTAGTAGAGATGGGATTTCACCGTTAGGCAGATGGTCTCGATCTCCTGATCTCATGATCTGCCTGCCTTGGCCTTCCAAAGTGCTGGGATTACAGGTGTGAGCCACTGTGCCCCGCCCAGGTAAAGTTAATTTCTTACAAAACTCTTAAAGGGTACAATGCAGACCACCTTGCATTGTAACACGAGCTACTTTGCTTACAGCAAAAGGTAATTTTTTTTGGTGCTAAGTAGTAATCATTTTAAGCCAAAATAAAGTCCAAATTTCTTGTAAACTGATATGCATACCTGATCATTATATCATTTTTTTTCCAGCGTTTTCTTAAAACTCAAATATTGAATCCCTAATCTTTCTAATAAGCTAAGAGGTTGGAATTCTGGGGAACCCATTTATAAAAATGAAAAGGGGTATTAATTACATCAACACGCTGGCCATAAGGTTAAAAACATTTCACAATTTCCTCCTCATAATTTTGAGGCTTTTATACATAAGGATTGAAAACCCTTAAAACTTAAGATTTGCGTGTCTAGTTTAAGTCTCTATAAAGAGTGCTTACCCAAAGGAGGTTACTAATATGACTTAATTTTAAAAAACCATGGTTTCTACAACAAATGAAATGCTTACAGCTGAATCAATTTACTCATGGTTAACTACTGAAGCAAAGTATTCTATAATTTAGTACCTTCCCTCCTTCCTCTTTCATTTCTAATTCACGACGCTTGGCAGTCTGCACTTGAGAGGTGAGGAACATTAATAAGAAGTAAGAACACGAACTGCCCCTCAGAGCTTTGAGAGTCAGGTCCAGCATGGCCTCATAGAATCATCTAGGCTTTATGTTCGAGTTTTCCATTTGTTCTTTTCATTCCTTGCTTAGTTTTCAAATCTCCTGTAACTTGTTTAACATATTCATATGCCATTATTTTCCTTGTCTAATATACAGGTAAAATTTACATACAGTGAAATGCACAGATCTTAAGTATACATATATAAGTATATATAATATATATAATGTGATGAGTTCTGATCAATGCATGACTTGTGACACCAAGCCCTTAATATAGAAAGAAGTTCCATCATCCAGAAAGCTCCTTTGAGTCCCCTTAGTCAATCCAAATGCCCAATAAGCAACCTCTCTTATTCCTATCATCATAAATGAATTATTTCTGATCATAAACTTCATATAAACGAAATACATTATGTACACTTTTGTGTCTGGCTTTTCTGCTCAACATAATGCTTCTGAGACATACATAGTTGACACTATTAGGAGTTCACTCTTTTATCTTTAATTGCTGAGTAGTATTCTATGGTACGGATATACAATGTGTTTATTTTCCTATTGATAGGTATTTGGCTTGTTTCCAGTTTTTGGCTAGCATGAACAAAGCTGCCATAATAATTCTTGCAACAAGTCCTATTAAGAAAATATATTTTCGGCACTGAATTACAGGGCAAGTGAACATTTAACTGTGTAAGAAATGGCCAAAAACAGCAGTTGTAATACTTTACACTCACGCCATCGATGCATGAGTGCCAGTTAATCCATATCCTCACTAACTTGTGGTACTGTCAGGCTACAAGAGCAGCCACTCTGGAGGGTGTGCAGTGCTATCTCATTATGGCTTTACTTTGCCTTTCTCCAATGACATTTTCCCTAATAATGCTGAGAGCTTTTCATGACCTTATTGGACATTTATAGATTTTCTTTTGTGAAATGTCTGTTCAAGCATTTTCCCCATTTCAAAACTGGATTGTCCTTTCATTATTGATTGGTAGTTTGTTACATATTCAGAAAACAAAAAAAAAAATCTATTGTCAGATAAATGCATCTCAAAATCTTTTCTCTTAGTACTGTGGGTGGTCTTTTCACTTTTTAAATTTTATGATCCTACATTTTAATTTTGAAGAAGTCCAGTTTCTCTCTTTTGTTTTATAGTTAGTACTTTTTGTGTGGTTTTTAAAAATGTTTGCCTAGACCAAGGTTGTGAATGTATTCTCCTATATTTTGTTCTAAAAGTTTTATAATTTTAGCATTTATGTTTAGGGTTATGAACCACAATGAATTAATTTTCTTGGGCAGGGGAGGGGCCAAAGTTCTTTTTTTTAACCTTTATCCAACTATTCCAGCATTACTTGTTGAGAAACTCTTCTCACTAAATTTTAATTTGTTTTAGAAAATATCTCTTTTATTGAAATGTTATTTTTGTAAGCATGTAATATTTTTATTAAAACTTCCCAGTTTTAATTTCAAATACGGTAAATAGCGAGAGACATAATCCATATAAATAAAAGTCCTTTGGGATCATCATACTTTTTTTTTTTGAGATGGAGTTTCGCTCTAGTCACCTAGGCTGGAGTGCTCTGGTGCGATCTCGGCTCACTGCAACCTCTGCCTCCCAGGTTCAAGCAGTTCTCCTGCCTCAGTCTCCCCTCTGTAGCTAGATTACAGCTACAGAGTAGAGTCCGTAGCTAGGATTACAGCTACAGAGTGACAGGCACCTGCCACCATGCCCAGCTAATTCTGGTATTTTTAGTAGAGACGGGGTTTTACCATGTTGGCCAGGCTGGTCTTGAACTCCTGACCTCAGGTGATCCGCCAGCCTCAGTCTCCCAACGTGCTGGGATTACAGGCGTGAGCCACTGCGCCCAGCTGTTCATCATAGTTTTTGAAGCATGTAAAAGGGTCCCAGAAGCAAAAACTCTGACAAGCACTGCTTTGGATGAGCCATGTGTGCTCTTATCTACAACCAGCCCACGCGCCTCCCCCGTGACACGCCTCACCTTCCTCAAGGACATCAAGCCAGGTTCCTTTAGGGATCCTCTCTATTGTACATCTGTCTGGATTCATGCTAAAACACCACCATTTTTTCATGACTTGTGCAAATGTCACCATGGCAGAAGAGATGAATAATGTCTTCATATTCTTGTGAAAACACTTTTGACTCAGAGCACACTCCCTGGTAGAGCCCCTGGGACTGTTCTTGAGGGCTCCATGATCCACTACACTGTTCTGCTCTGGCTTTCAAAAACTATGTAAGACACCGACTCCAGGCAAAAAATTTTGTCCCTTCACACTTTTTAGGATTAGAATGAAGGCAGTAAATAATAACTAAAAAAGCTAAGGACTTAGAGACATTCTGAGATTCACAGTCATAATTCTCCTAGAAGCTATGTGACTGTGGAGAAGTCAAATTATTTTCTCTGTGTTTCAGTTTTCACATCTATAAAATGGAATAATACCACCCACTTCAGAGAAATTTCTAGATTATTAAGAAGCTTCTCAAAGTATCATATGGTGCTACACAAATGTTTCTAATTTTTTATCTCAAACATCTTGTGATTACAGTAACCAAAGATAAGAAAACCTAGTAAAGATGTTGATAGCATAAGAGAAGGTACAGTTTAAGTTGAAGAAACAGTGGCCCAGAGAAAATGTGCCATTAGGATTTCAGAATGAACTGCAAAATACCGCACAGAACTTCAAGTAGAATCTAATCGTACATACCACTATTTGACATTTGAAAGAGGTTGTTCTTTTCAAACTTCTTGAAAACACTTCCTTTAATTTCAACAAACTGAAACAGTAAACAGAAATATCTTTATGATTATAACAGTTTAAAAACTGGACTTGCTTCCTATAAAACTTCTGGGAGAACAACATATAGAACAAAGAATTTTATCCCACCCACAGTATTGCAGCTGAAATGTCCGTATAACTTCAAAAATGTAAGATAAATCTCATACTTACATTATTAGACATCATGATAGTAAGCAAAGACTTGTTGTGTGAGTTAAAAGCTACATTGAGAGTTGTTGCTTGAACCATTATAAGAATTGCATGCAAAACTAATAGAAGGTCAAGGAAAAAACTTAAATTTGCTTTCATATTGTTACTGATAATACTACAAAATTTTGAAAGTGAATAATAAAGAAAGAAGATGACTTTCTTTTCTAAATCGTCTACGTAAGTATTGTATTATCTTCATAATTTCCCTATTAGCTATAGTTGATAAAAATTTGACAGGATATCCACATGAAATGAACAAAAGTGGAAATGTACCTCTACATATTCATTTATTTAGACCATGAATCCTTTGGAACAGGGTTGTTTTGTTCTTTCCGTATCTCTGGCACTTGGCACAGTGCTCAGGAAATAGGCCCTCAGAAAAGTTTGTTAAGTAAATGGATTAAATTATGGTAAATACTGAAAGAAGAGACTAAGAAATACACATTCTGAATTAAGATAATTTGCAATGTAAAAAAGAAAGCACAAACTATAAGTCTGGAAGTGATTTTCTTCCCTGATTCTTCAGGAAATGTGGAATGTAAGGTAGTAAGAAATATCTGATAATTAAGATTCTTCTTCATATGTCATTTTGAATATATCCATAAACTGCAGAATTACATTTGTATTACATACAGAATAGTTAATTTATATCTAAGAGTGGTAACTGCTTTACTCCATTAAAACTGGAACAAGCTTTACCCTCACAGGTATCTTCCCACTTGGTTCTTTAACTTTCCAAGTATTAACCCAATTTCTTTCAAGTGTCACTCTTACAGAGATAGGAAAAAAAAAAAGTGACACATTCTTGTGAATGAGTCCTGACTTCACATGGAACTTAAAAGCAGGAACGTGTGTTATAAATATGTAGGGGTACACACAAACACGTACACTGCTTATATAATAAAGCATTTACTCTCCAATAGAAAAGCTTTAAGCCAGGGATGAATACACAAACACACAAAACCACCAAAACTCCTCCCAACCAATTTCACATTTTACTTTTAGATAAATTCTATGCATTTTAAGCCCAAGGTTATAAAAAATAATTCCTGGATTTAAAGATAACTTCAAGAAAAATTCTAATATAAGTATGAAAAATTATAGATCTATGTAAATAATGTATGTATAAAAATACGCTGCCTTTTTATTATAAAATTCTTCCTTATAATCAGTTACACTGCAAATAGAACTGTTTTCCAGCAGCTCAAAGAATAATGCATACATGAGGCTCCTTAAATTAATTACAATTATTATGACAATCAATTTCTCAACAGAACACAGATATTTCACATTAATCTTCAGGATACATACATTATCTATATGTCTTTAAATCTATGAAATGGCTAACCAAATAAAATAAGGTAGACTATGCATTAACTGTTGGAAATTTCCAGTAAGTCTATAAGGATACAGACATAGAGAACAGCCATGAAAAAGTGAGGAATCACCCCAATGTGGGCTCTTTTTCTTTCTTTAGGTTCTGTTGCTGTCCAATAGAGAGCATCTAATATATCTTGTCCAAAAGATGAAAACAGACGATCAGCTACCTAAAAAGGAAAAATGACTTGTAAGATGTTTCTTAATATTCCACTTAAATATGTCATTAAAATTGAGATATAGCTCAAATCCTGGAGATCTACTAGGATTTAAAATCCTAGTAGAAGGCAAGCTAAAGAAGAGTGAAGATGTTTGTTTACTTATTCACTCACATTTCTTTATTCTTTAACAAATAGTAAGTGCTAAAATATGTATAGAATTTCAATCAGACTGTCTAATTAGCTATGTTTGTAACAAAGAAAGTCTTAAACAGTGGCAAAAATAAAAGGGGTGGGCACATCTGGCCAGGCATGGTAGCTCACGCCTGTAATCCCAGCACTTTGGGAGGCCGAGGCGGGTGGATCATGAGGTCAGGAGATTGAGACCACCATGGCTAACACAGTGAAAAGCTGTCTCTACTAAAAATACAAAAAATTAGGCGGGCTTGGTGGCAGGCGCCTGTAGTCCCAGCTACTCAGGAGGCTGAGGCAGGAGAATGGCCTGAACCCGACAGGCGGAGCTTGCAGTGAGCCAAGATTGCGCCACTCCACTCCAGCCTGGGCGACAAAGTGAGGCTCCGTCTCAACAACAACAACAACAACAACAAATTTAAAAAAAAAAGGGTGGGGGTGGGCACATCAAAAACATGGTTCTTCTGGTTTTAGCACTTTAAATTCAAACTCAGGATTCAAATTTAGGACAAATATATCATTTGACCTACTCATATCTAATATTTGCAAACAATGGTAACTGTATTTTTTTGAGGTTTATTATATGGAATAAAATATGCAGATTTACTTCCTCAACATATTTTCCGGTATCAATCTCCTTGAATACAGTATAACAAGTAAAAAGTGACACATAAGGCTGGGCGCGGTGGCTCAAGCCTGTAATCCCAGCACTTTGGGAGGCCGAGACAGGCGGATCACAAGGTCAGGAGATCGAGACCAGCCTGGCTAATACGGTGAAACCCCGTCTCTACTAAAAAATACAAAAAAAAACTAGCCGGGTGAGGTGGCGGGCGCCTGTAGTCCCAGCTACTCGGGAGGCTGACGCAGGAGAATGGCGTAGACCCGGGAGGCGGAATTTGCAGTGAGCTGAGATGCGGCCACTGCACTCCAGCCTGGGCGACAGAGCGAGACTCCGTCTCAAAAAAAAAAAAAAAAAAAAAAAAAAAAAAAAGTGACACATAAAACGGAGAAAAGGAGGGCATGATATTCAGGATTCAGTTTGAATGCCACATCCTAACAGAGGCCTTTTCCAGACCATCCAATCTCTTGTGGCTCCTATGGTCTCTACTGCGTTAGTCTGTTCTTTTTCATCATACAATATATCATTTCCTAATATCTCCTTGTTTATTGTCTATCTCTCACCTGTAGAATATAAGCTCCATGAGAATACGCTGGTTCACCTGTGAGTATTCAGGATCTAAGATGCTTGGCATGCAGCAAGTGCCAACTAAAGATCTGCTGAATGAATAACAGCTACCATTTAGGGAGCTCCTACCATGGGCCTGATATTGTGCTAAACCGCTTCTATGTGGGGTCTATTTAATCCTCATAATCTCCCTAGTGTCTCCACTTTACAGATGAGAAACTGAGGATTAGAGATATTCAGCAACAGTAACTATGTCCAGGATAACCAGGTAATAAAGGAAGGACTAGGATTTGGTCAAAGGTGGTTTGCCTCTAGACCAGAGCATGGACTCTCATCCACTGTGTTTAAGCCACCTCATCAATTATGGTCTACAATGCGAATACATATATAAATCATTTTAATCAGCAATTCATGGATCCTTTTTCTTGGCCTATTTTCTAGTAACAATACTACTACTACCTTGAGAGGGCTTTGTAAGTCAGGGGACAGGGAGAAACCCTTGCACTTTCCAATCTCCTAAGATGGAAAGCCTACGAAGGAGAGACTAGAAGGGCAGCGGTGACAAGAGCAAGGCAGAGCTCAAGCCTGTAATCCCAGCACTTTGGGAGGCCGAGACGGGCGGATCATGAGGTCAGGAGATCGAGACCATCCTGGCTAACCCGGTGAAACTCCGTCTCTACTAAAAAATACAAAAAACTAGCCGGGCGAGGTGGCGGGCGCCTGTAGTCCCAGCTACTCGGGGGGCTGAGGCAGGAGAATGGCGTGAACCCGGGAGGCGGAGCTTGCAGTGAGCTGAGATCCGGCCACTGCACTCCAGCCTGGGCGACAGAGCGAGACTCCGTCTCAAAAAAAAAAAAGAGCAAGGCAGAGAGCAGAGGGGAATAGCGAATGAGGTCTAGGCTCTTTCTATGAGAAGGAAGGGAGAACAAGATGAGCTATTCTGTTTCAGGAACTTTGTCCCCATCCACCCCGAGGCAACCTACTTGGTGGGGCAAAGTGTACATGCAGCAAGCCTAGAATCAGGAAGCTGGGGTATGGTTTTAAAACATCTTGGTCTTGAATTTAGGAGGTACCAGAAGGCTAGAGCTCCAAGGCTTTGAAGAGATGGAGAGTCCTTATCTACCACAGCAATGCAGCTTCAGAGCAAAAAGGCCAGCAGCCCCCACCCCACCCGTCCTCTCACTAGGAAAAATCTCTTCATGGCTAATTAAAAAGATAAATAGACCTTATTTGTATCCCCCCAAAAATAAAATATAAAAATGCAATCCCGAGATGGAGTCTCGCTCTGTTACCCAGACTGGGGTGCAGTGGGATGACTTCAGCTCACTACACAACCTCCACCTCCAGGGTTCATGTGACCCTCCTGCCTCAGCCTCCTGAGTAGCTGGGATTACAGGCACGCGCCACCAGGCATGGCTAATTTTTGTATTTTTAGAGACGGGGTTTCACCATGTTGGTCAGTCTGGTCTTGGACTCCTAACCTCAGGTGATCTGCCCGCCTCAGCCTCCCCAAGCGCTGGGATTACAGGTGTGAGCCACTGTGCCAGCTTGCAATTTGAATTTCAAAGTTTATTATATAACTTAGGTAGCTTACTATTTTAAAAACTTATGAATATTTGGCTTATAAAGCAAAGCAGTTTTTTGCAAAGTGAATATATGTCAGCTCAACTTACTTTTTACAGAAATGCAGATTTTCATATGCTGAATGCTTTTAAGTGAGACGTATTGTACTAAAAACATTAAGTACTTACAAAAATAGGGAACTTATATTTATTTGCCCTATGTAAAGATTTGAATTTAAATGTGCAATTTAAAATGTGTATTTCTTATAGCAAACATACACATAATCATAACATTTAACTCATAATTTAAAGTTCTAGCATGGGTTTCTAACGAAGTTGTGAAACTAATTTTCCTAGCACTTGACAATTTGGATACTCAAGGGGGTACTGGTTCTAAAATGTCTGGGCAGCAAGACTCTTCCCAGCCTACGTGAGGACACACCATGCCTGCGGGCTTGCCACCAGAGGTGTGCCCCAGACCAGCAGCATGAGCCCCACCGCCTGAGAAATGCAGATTCTCCAGACCCAGCCCAGATCTCCTAAATAAGAATCCATGTTTAACAAGAGCCCCCAAGTGATGATAGCACAGTAAAGTCCAGAAGCACCACAACTAGAGTCGGTAGAGCATTCTTGACTCTCAGGTACCTTCAGAATTGGAAGACTTGAAGCTCAGTGCCCTGGCCAGGCCTGTGCAGGGTAAGCGAGGTCCTTACCTCCAGCATGTTGTATATGATGTAGAGCTTGATGACGGACTGCCCCCTTATCAGGTGGTACATCATGGAGTAGTCAACATAGTGCATCATAAAATAGCAGATGACCAAAATGACACCCTTCAAAATGTCACACACCTGGGCAGGCTGAAGCAAACGTCTGTCCCTGAAACATACAAGAAGTAATAAAAATATAAGTTTTACTCTGTATGTTCTCAAAAACCAATAATCTTTACTTGATATACACTGGCATACAAAGGTAAAAATAAGAATTATGTTGATCTTTTAAAAACTTCAAACAAGGGAAGTTAAACTACATGACTACTCGACAGTGTAAAATCTTCTGTCCAAGTATAGAATATAAAGATTTTAAGTGAGAATTACTATTAGATGTTGGCAATCTTAACAAATGAACACAGAGGGCAGGTATCTACTGATAGGGTGCTTTCGAGCAACAGATTTCCACCATTATGGCATATGGCATAAACCTTTAACTAATCATGAATCTCTGCATGTAGCCTGCTGGATCAGCCCTTTTCACACAATGCTACATTCTATGCATACTGCTCTGCATCTTGTACTTAATGGCATAATATTCCATAGAAGTTCATCAGGACTTCATATTTTTATGGCAGCATAGTGTTCCACTATGTGGATGAACTATAACTTATTTAACGTACTACTGACAGATTTGTAGTCTTTTGCAATTATAAGCCATAATGCAATGTACATGCCATGTCTCATATATGAAAGTGTATCTGTAGGATAAATTCCTGAAATTGGAATTCCAAGGTTATATTCACTTGAAATTTTGACAGAAACAGCTGAACTGCCCGCTGTACAGGGTACAGTTTATACCTTAACTAGCAATGTCATGAGAAAGCCTGTAGCCCAGGGCACTGATACAGTGTTCGACTAACTTTTGGATCTTTGCCAGTCTCATTGCTGGAAAATTGTACACAGTGTAGTTTTAACGTTAATTTCTATCATTAGGAAACTAAACATCTTTCCACATATTTAACAGTTATTTATATTTCATGTGAACACTCCCTATCTTTTTTGTACTGGTTTATAGGACAGCTTTTGTATTACAGATGTTAGTCCTATGGGACTTCAGTCGAAATTTTTTTTCATAATTAATATGAGCAGAATAATCACTCCTTACTTCTGAGGTTAGAGTATAAGGAGCTAAACCTAAATTGTGAAAGGAACCATCTTAATAAGACAGAGCAAAAAATACATTAGAAAAGAAGAAATTAAGATTTCTTCCACTGGATTTAAAATTCTTGTGACAAGAATGGGAAAGATACGTTCTCTTTGCCTGTCGTAGGCTGACTCCTCAGGACGGAAAATGCTGCCTCTTGCTTTGGCAGTTTTTATGCATAGTGCAATCAATAAAACAGCCCGAGTATATTTTTTTAGGAGCTGCAGAATCTCTTCATTTCCACCAATTGTGACGATGTTCTAAGCAACAATACAGGGGTGGGCTCATTTTCTAACTGGCCATTGGCCGTCTAAGTCACCAATGTATTTGATATTCCTTGGCTACATATTCTCCAGAGCTCTTTCCTAATGCTTTTCCTTCAAAGATCTTTGTGGAGTTTAACAAGGAATTTGTAAATCTTCCAAACTGTTACTTGAAACATTGCTTTATAAAGTCACAATGATGCTCTACCAATCCTGTGAGCAGTTGTTACAGAAACTCATTCTTGCTTTCTACAATGTGCACTGTATGATGTTTTCAGTTAGATATGAATTTGGCTGATCTATTTACAGACAGAATGTAAGATACTGCAGAAGTTCTGAAAGCAGGCAAATTCTGTGAAGACTGTTCACCAAGGGCTAAAGGTGGCTGGACATACACTGGGCTGGACCAATGAGCCTAAACGAGAGAGAGGTCAGAATTTGTCTAAGTCAGATCACACGACTTAAGATGGGTATGGAAAGCCAAGTAAAATTATTCTTAGCAGTTGAAGTTAAGGCTTTGGGAAAAATTGCATCAAGGACAAAGTTGATCAATCTCTATCATTATTTCTCCTTCACCATGACTTTCTTTTATCCAATGCTGTTCCTCTTTTTCCCACAGAGAAAGAGAGAGACCTTTTTCTCCTCAGGGAACAAAGAATGCCCTTCATCTCCTAACTCCCAGCCAACCAGCCCAGAGCACAGATCTCTGCCAAGGACTCTCTGAATATCAAGGTAATTTCCTGCCTCCATCCCTACAAGACTGAAAATGGAAGACCTATTATACCTGCCAAGAATTGGATCTTGATCCCTTAAACATATTTCTCATCCAAACACTGAGAAGAGGAGACATTTTGAACACTTGTGAGCTCCTGGCCTTGGTATGACTGTCTCCACTTGGGCTGCAGGGAACAAATGGTGAGCCACCAGCCCCCACTCAGAAGTGTGGCACAGCTCAGCATATATTGAAAGTCACACATCACCAACAGTCATGGGCTTTTGTGTTCAAAGACTGTAAATCATGTTTATAAATTAAAGAAAATGATACGAACTAAAAGTAGGGTAGTATTAACTTGTATTAATTACAAAAATAATTTTGATAACTAATTTAAGTAGAAAACTATACTTAGAGCTTTTGGTATTAGATGGCATCTACTTAGTTGAGTGATCTCAGTCAGAGCAATTTTATTTAAGAGACAAAGGGTTTTTAAGTATATATCCAATTGTGTTTCTTTATATACATATTTGGAATCAAAGAACAATGTGTTAGTATATCAATGAAGGAACAGTATATTTAATACAAGCCATAGTTAGAAATTAGATCTACCAAACATTGGAAATACATATCCCAAAATGATATAATACCACACTTTTTGAACCAAGCTGACAAATTAACAAAGAAAAGTTGTAGAAACACCTAATGCTACAATTCAGTTACTATGTGGCAGGCACTATTCTAGATAATCCACATATATTCCTTTTAGTGTTCACAATAATCCTATTTATTTAATCATCTCAGTTTTACAAATGAGCCAAGGGACAGTCAAGAACATGCCTGTGGTTGCACAGTGACTAAGTTCCCACATGGTGCAGCAGGGATGGACACTTGGCAATCTGGCTCCAGAAGGCACGCTCTTCAGAACCATCTGCATTCTGGACTTTTTAAAACAGAACTTCTAAACTTGCAGGAATCAACAACTCAGAACTTATTATCTTTCTGTAAAATTTAACACTGCATACTTTATCACTGTATTGCAATCTCATCTGAATAAATTGCTGTACAAAAAAACAAACCTATCTATCACTTGGTCTTTATTTCTAAAAATGAATGCAAAAAAACCTGGACTATATGATATGTATATGATATACACATATTGAATTCACTGCTTTCTGTGCACCCCCTGCTCTGGTGAAAGTGTTCCATCCATTGCTAACATCATAATTGGTTGCTGCAGGGATGACTGTGATTTTCAGAACTAAGGAATACTATTCAAATAAAGAATACAAGAAGCAGAACCTTTAAAAACAAGGGTCTTGTTTTCTTTCTTTCTTTTTTTTTTTCTGTATTTTTAGTAGAGATGGGGTTTCACCATGTTGGCCAGGCTGGTCTTGAACTCCTGACTCAGGTGATCCACCCGTCTCAGCCTCCCAAAATGCTGGGATTACAGGCTTGAGCCACCGCACCTGGAAAGAGTCTTGTTTTCATATAAATGTCCTTGTTAACAAAAAAGAAAGGCTGCCAAAATAAAAAATCATTTCTAAGGTGGCATCTTAAAAGACAGCTGTATGTACCACAGCCTCTTTCTAAGAAAAGACCTAACCTCACAAATAAGTTTACCTGGTTAAAACAACTTGAACCAATCAGCTTATTTGTTCCTTCTCTGCCAGGATATTTTTAGATGACTATCTGATAAGCACTTCAAACTCCCTAAGAAGCTTATCCAAGGCCCTGTTATTCAACCCTGAATTGGCTTTTGAAAAATACTTTCATGCTAAAGTTCTTATAAATGGCTAAGTGGTGGTTACTGGCAATTCACCTTGCAAATGATGAAAATCCCATACGAAAGCATAAACGAGTGAAATATACTGTTGGGCAAAGTAAAAAACCCGCTAATCTAATTTGCAGCTTTGGGTGTATGTCATCACACAAGTAGTATTACATCAGATATTTAATAGAACTTAAACATTTTTCAAAACAAGACATTTAAACAGAATTCTTTTAAAAATTTCTAGTAAAACCAACCTTAGAGAAACCAAATTCGCTACATTCCTAAATTTTATTTTTTATCCTTACAAACATTTCCATTTCCATTGTGTTTTTAGCAACTGTACACTTTTACATTATACAATTTACCAATTAGAGCATCTCCAGTTGTTTCGAAGGGCTCATAGATTTAGAGAAACCGAATTATAGAGTAGAGAAAGACGATCAAGGGTAAGCTTTCTCCTTCTCCTCTTTAGTGGAAGATAATACGCTAACTGTGATTAAAGTAAAATCTGGTAGTGGACAGAAAGATCAAGAAGGAAGACATGGCACCAAAAATGAGCGAGAAAAATGGGAGAATCCCAGCATAGTTATTGCAAATCAGTGTTGAAACATGCCAGAATATTAGCATGATTTATTTCATTACAAAATACATAGACTAGATCTCTCGCTCTCTCTATTTTCAGCCATTTGTGGTATAATTGAAAGAGTGAAGAAACACAAGCACTACTGAAATAAAAATGCAAAATACTTAATATGGTTTTATTTTTGAAAGTGAAGTCCTTTTATAATTTTAAAGTAAACTGGAATAAAGTAGTGAAATCAAGATGTTTTACTCAATTAGAAAATTAAGTATCTTAAATCTTAAGTTTGACTGACATGTAACAGAAAAATAAATACTTAACATAAATGGAATGATTCAAACCATTTCTTAAACTTTAGTTTCAAACTATACTAGAAAAAAAAAACCTGTTTTTATAAAGCTATGTTCACAATTTTAGTAATGCAAAATAAAAACTGCTTATATGGAAGGAATTAAGCTCAGCCAATTTCTGTGGCTTTGGGGATGAGGTATTTGCTAAGTCTAAGCTAATATGTATAAAGATCACTTCTGAGTGGATTTTCATGTTAGGTGAAATCACAGTCAAATCCTTCACAAAGAAATGTGGACAAAGCTTTAAGACCAAGTAAAGATGCTATTTTGAAAAGGACAGGGA